ACACACACGCACACACGCACACGCACACACACGCACACACACACACACGCACACACGCACACACGCACCCCTGCCTGGCAGTGTGGAGCCCTGCTAATTACCTGAGACCCCGCATATGACGTGCTGTTATTGATCACCACTTTATGTATCTTCCCAAACTTCCCGAAATACTCTGGCCTCTTTAGAACCTGGAAAGATAGGGAGACGGGGAGAAAGAGTAGACTGAGGGGAGATATTTAAGTTAATTACACAGCTCAGAAGTGCCCCCCCTCCAAATCATGCTTCACATTTGGGGGCTTTATTGCTGCTGCTTTACTACTTTGCTCAAGGGTAAAACTGCAGGCCCCTATTGGGCTCGGAACCGGAAGCCCATCGGATAGCCCTGCCTGACAGGCAGCAACCCCAGTGGGTCAACTGGTGTCACGGGTCTATGAAGGCACATGGAAACATCTAAAGTCACTGGCAGGGCCACCCCCGCCGCCAAGCTTGGTGGTAGGAAGGGGGTCCTTAGTCATAAAACATGAAAAGCTAACGACTACATTCACGGCAGCAGAGGGACGTGTGATGATATGAGTCAGGAGTCACGCAGACTTCGAGTCAAGCGTCAAGCTGCCTCACAAAGAGGGAAGAATGACGAGAGTAAACGACGTCCTGCTGGGGGTAGGAGGGTTTGAGGTAGAGGGCCGGCACGCTCGCGCCTCTACAGCAGGGGGCGCTCAAAGAGCTCACTATTTATACACAGATTAATACATTTACAATGTACCTGAACAGACAAAAACAGAGCAGACAGAGAAAACGCGCCACCTCCCAGAGCGGATGGAATAACCTCCAAATGGCCCTGCAAGTTTGGGGAAAGTGTGGACTGTGGTACACTTCAAAGAATGAAAGAAATACGTTTTAAAATGTGCTAATTTAAGGAAATTGATCAAAGTCAATAATATTTACTCAGATCCTGCCATGCTTATATGAGGACTACCGGCAGGATGACAGCTATATGAATCTTGATTTCTAGGAGGCTGGGTTGCTCGACGACCCAATCCAATCACTCGTCACCTCAGCTACTAGCGCAGTTCCAGACGTTTGCACCATCAGCAAATGAGCCCCTCGATGGGCCAAAACCGACCTTATGCAAGAGGCAGACGGCACTCACGTGCCTGGGGTCTAGACGTTCCCGCTCAGCATGGGGTTTGGATGTTCCCCTTCAGCCCAGGTCACTAATCTCATTAGCTGCTTAAGAAATGTGAGATTTCAGGAAAAACTGCGCCATTCGCGCTAGTGTGCATCACCAGGCTTCCAATCTTGCTTTCCTCGAGTGTTTCTCTGACTGGTGTGAAAGCTCGCTACAGGAAAACCATTACAGTCCGCCGTGCAGAATTCATTTTAAGGTATAATCAGGAAATCACATAAAAGAGAAAAAGCGTAAAAAGAAAAAACCATCAGACGCATGAAGACCGCATGCTTGGTTAGAAAAGGGTAAATCTGCGAATTCTAATAGTAAATAGACTCAGATGAGTGACAACCACTTAATGGGAGCCGGTATCAGTTTAAGAACCCGAGAAAATGGGCTGGGGAGCAAAACAGGATACGTGACAGGTGATGTAGAGGGAGGGGCTTCTTCTCTATATCCAGCAACTGTCTGCTGAACAGCAACAGATTGGGGGTAGAAGTAGCCCTAATTAAACTAGGGTTATATCATTGTGCTGTATACACACATCATAATGTGCAGTGCCTGTCCAGTTATAAAGTCAACCAGAAAGACCCTGCAAGCCAAGCTCCTATTCAACTAGCCATGAATTAAGCAGGAAAAATACCAGCACAGCTTGCAACTCCCGGAGCCAACTGCTGCAGTCGGTTTCACCGAACCGTTAAACACAAATTAATTCTGACCAGTTAGCCTTAGGGTGTGAGGAGATTAAACGGGCCCGCGCGCCCGCATGGGGACGGGTCAGCTCGCCCGCATGGGGACGGGTCAGCTCACCTCGGGGTCGGCCAGCCTTTGTGACAGGCCCACCACGAACACTAGGTTGCGCTGTACGACACGCACGCTGGCGAGATGCTTGCGGTTTTCTGTGATCTTCTGCTTGCGCTCGTTCTGCTTTTGTTTCTTCTCGCTCTTTATCCGCTGGAGCTCTTCCTGTGACAGGGGTTTGTAGACTGCCGGATCTTCTGGATAAGGCTACGGAGAAAGGCGGAACCGACTAAGAACCTGAATTACTGATACAGGTAGAGTCTCCACATGAAAGGTACGGTTGGAATCGACGTATTTCATAACGTACACGCACAAAAAAAAGGCCATCAAACCTGCACTCTAAGGTATCTCTACGGCGAGTTAACTAGTATCCTGCTAGCTGACCCGAGAGAGTAGGTGCTTTTTGATTACACATGTTCCCAGATCAGCTGCATTTAGTGTTCTGTAAAGCCACTGCCTGCAGGTGCTAAAATTCCTAGAATTTCCCAGTTCTTTGATTTCAACCGGACTTCCATTGAGCTGTCAGCCCTTGCGGCAAAGAGCTCAAGGTACCTGGTTTAAATAGGTTCCTAACTGCAAAGTATTGATTCCACCCTCCTTGTCAACAGGAAATTCTGGGAAAAAGCTTGTTTATCAATCACTGAGCGCTAAGGCCACCTAGCTACCAAAAAAGCTGATTTAGTTAAAAGAAAAAACAGCTACCAAGGCAAAGACCATTTTCAAAACAGCTAAATAATTTAACATACATAGGCAGCGACAGAGGCTCATTAAATGTTACTCAGATGTGAAAATGAATCCTGCACAAGCAAGTAATCAACCTGAGGCGAAAGATGCAATGGTTCTGTATGTGGGCAGCCATTATGAATTTAACCAGCCCGCTGCCCAGAAGACTGAACTACAGCTAAAACACCCCCACGGCATTCTAAGATAACATTGTAAAGCACGCATCAAATGAGTGCCAAATTCTGATACCTACATTAGAATATTTCAGAACACTGCGGTTTGAGAAACCACTGAAACACAAGCTTTCAAAAAAAGAAAAAAGAACAGGAACTTTCTGAATTCAAGTCAGCAGGTAAAATGTCAATCCAGGCAGCTGAAACTTTGGCAAGCAAAGTGAAAGACACAGCAAGGAGCGCGAGGAGGAAGCCGGCGAGGGGGCAGCACAGCCCGGGGCAGCACAGCCCGGGGCAGCACAGCTCGGGGCAGCACCGCACCTTTCTGCAGGCGGGACACAGCCCGTTCTCATCCGTGCGGATGCGGTGCCAGCAGAACCGGCATATCTGGTAGCCACAGGTGCAGGGGAAGAAGTTGACGTCGTCGATCTCCAGGGGCTCCATGCAGAGGGGGCACTCCATGGGGTCTTCCTTCACCTCGGGGCTGCGGGACATCCTACGACGCGGGGGTGGCGGCGGTGGCGGCGTCTCACAGTGGCGCAGTAGTGTGGGGGGAGTCCTGAGCCGGGGGGCTGCAGGGAAGGACATGGGCAGGGAGACGGAAGAACGTTGTAGAAGATCATAATCACCTACAGAGCTGAAGACTCCATGAATTGGGGGGTGGAGGGGTACAGGAACTCCAACTTACACAATACCTCAAATACCTTACAAGACACCTTGTTTCCCAGAATCCATGCAAAGCTGTTTCCACTTACACACTACTTACTATCCTGAATTGTGGGTACCATTATAGTACAAACATTAACTCTCATATCTCAGAATGTAGGGTACCCTACTCCAGTCTACAACTGGCAATACGCTTGCTAAGTAGTACCTAAAGACCTCAATTTAACAAAGTCAGCTTATTAAACCCAGTCTTCACTTAGACGTCAGTTAAAAGCATATAGAATGTCTAGGCATACTGTAACCCTGACAGAATGCTGAGCGAAGGATCCTCGACTCAAAAGCAACCCACATCCGGGTGTACAACTCATACCCGTCCTTCTATACCAGGGGTGTCAAACCCCAGTCCTGGAGGCCCGGAGCCCTGCACTGGTTTACCCTCGTTTAACACACCTGATTCAACACCACAGCTCTTGAGCTGAATCATTTGTGGTAGAATAGGAAAGAACTAAGCTACACAGGCCTCCAGCCCCCCAGGACTGGAGTTTGACACCCCTGTTCTATACCAGGCATACCAGACAGGCAGTCACACAATTCGCCCTAAAACCAAGAGCCTAAACGGGGATTCCTGGCCCTGGAAGTGGAGCAGCCTGTGAATGCTTGTGTGAGGGAGCAGGCCTGGAACTGGAACAGACAAGCACCTGCTTCAGGAAACGGTGGCATTTCTAAGACTGAGGAAATAAATATTGTGGACACATGGGTTCGTCCAGTTCTGGCCTGATAAACGTATACAAGGATCATTACCTGCCAAATCACACAAGACTCTACACAAAGAAGTCTCACTTTATAGAACAAGTGCCCAAAAATAATCAGTAAACAATAGCTTACAAAGGCATTGCTGAAAGGCCACTGGACAACTTCTACATTACAAGACTCCAGTTTATGTACCAACACAATATGGTGAACAGGTCCCAACAACTTCTTCCAGAAGGTCAGCCAGCTTATCATCTGAGTGGGTAAGACAGACTTGTCAACAGTCTGATGCACATGTGGAGATCAAATCAAAGCAACAGAATGCTTAAAGGAAAACTGAAGATGTTACATACAGCCTGATGTCTCTTCAAGTGCCAATGACAAGCACAAATACAATTGTCCAGGAGAACTCAGTGTTGTGTATTATCAGAACTTATATATTACATATTATTTAAAAAAAAAAAAAAAACAAACAAACAAAAAAAACTTCTGATAAAGAATGGAAAGACGGGTGCAGACAAAAGAAAACGTGACCAAAAAGGTGGCCTCACCTAGGCTACGATCAGGTGGATCACGGCCCCCTAAAAGGCGAGTGAAGACTAAACATGAAAAACAAAACCTTTGAAGCAGACTCCTGTGGTACCGCTGCTGGCAACCTTACTTTATTCTGTATGAATCTGGCAACTAGAAACTCAAGATGAAACTGCCGTAATTTACTTTTCTATACAATGCCTGCTTATTGTACCAGCCATAACCCACAGGTTTGAGTCCAGCAACGACTGCAAATTGCTATGGCAACAAGGAAAGTCACCTCTATTTTCGTGGCTTAAAATGACATTTTAAATTTGTGTGTGCATACGATATTTTTAGGGATGCAGTGTGACTTGTGAAAAATTATCCAATCTGCAGACAGTCATTCTTGCACAGCTATGATGGCCAAGATTTGGGGAAAATCTCTCCAAAGATTAATCAGGTTTTGAAGAGCGACCAAAAGTATTTTCTGAATGAAACTGACAGATGTTAACCCAGATAGAAATTGCACACCTAAAAATGCTACCAATTTTAAGTCTTAATGTTTCACTGGAGCCCGTTTGTACTTTCATTTTATGAGTTTTGTATTACAACCTGCAGAGAGCACCTGCAACTGCTGCCTCAGGAGCTCTGTGGAAATGCAATCTCAGCCCCTCAGCACAACAAAGGTACGAGTACCCCGCCTCCAGCCAATATGCTCTCCTCTTCTGCCCTGCCTGCCAGGACCATACAACTCTCCTCAAACCTACTGACCGTGACAGAGGTGAACATGGCCGCTCCCTGGCACCACTGTAGAGTCCTCCAGCTACAATGGAGCCGGCTAGCCGACAGCGGACAGAAATACACATCCGGCTACAGCTTAATAACTTGGGTAGAAATGAGATTCCTGGTCCAGGAGGTCCTGCACAGCACTGTCATTCCACCTCAGAGCTGAAGAACTAATTATCAGCCTGACCGAACTAATCTGCAGCTCTCTCCACACTGAGGCCGAAAGCAGTTTAGAGAGCTTCATACTATGGCCCACCAGGAATAGGAATGCAGACTTTGGGGGCATGGAGATCCATTCTACTCAAATGCTTGGGGCAGCAGCCAGGGAAAGAGACAATATCCTTTCTGTTTTCAGTCCGGCAGATCATTTGACCACAGCCACTGCACTTCATATGCAAAAGTAGCACGCAATTAAAAGTTGTGAATGTCTAATAAATGAGAACTATTAAAGATGATTTATAATGTGGCTATATTAGCACATGACACTGACCAATACAGCAAAACCCAAGATAAATTTGACAGTGACAACAGACCAATCTAACCAACCTGGAGTAAGGACCTCAACTCAAGCACCGATCCAATCAAAGAAATGGTAACAAGATGGCTGTCTTTATAAATCGCATCGTGATCCCAGGAATCTGTCTTGCTAGCAAGATGTTGATGCCGAGATCATATTCTAGAAACATCGAATGATCATGGGGCAGAGATCACACGACTGATGAAGCATCAACGCAGTAAATTAAAAAGAACGCCATCATCCCACAACATGACCGAGGCCCTTATCTAGACCAGGACTGCAAAGAGGGGTGCAGTTTGGAGGGTGGGGGCAACTGAAAGGAAGGAAGGGCGCTAAAAATACCCTGCCCAGGCTAAAAAGCAGGATCTCACTTTAAAGGGAAGACAAGATGAGACGGGGTGGGGCCAGGGTAGGGGTCCCCTCCCCGAGTGGACATTTAAGGCAGGATCAATCCGACGTGGCAAATTTGGCTCCCACAGGCCAGGGAAGCTAATTCAGAGTCTGCCTGTAAGGAATCAGCCCTAGAGCAATGCCAGGCAAGCTGGCACTCAGCATTAGCAGGATGAGGGCATTAAGTTTCTTCCAGACTCGGGGATGCCCTGCGCTTCTACCGTAACATCTGCCAAACGGTCCCATGGCAAGCCGCTAAAATCCCTGCGATTAACCAATCGCACACAAGCATTCCCAAACTTGAAGCTAAGCGCCTTTTGAAATCTACGGCACGGTGGCTCAATGCATCACAAAGACACGGCTCAGTAAGGGGACAGCTGTCTGCTCTGCGGAAGCCCTGAGAATGACACAGACTCATAAAACTTCCGACAGACCTTTCTTAAATTCGGTTTTAACATCAATGGACCACATGTCTCATGTGTAGCTCCAGCTGGTGTCAATGTCTTACTCAAATCTTCATATTAGGCTTGCTAATGGGACAGGGCTAGAGCTAAAGCTCAACCCTGTGCCCCATGGCTTTTGATTTTTTATGGGGAAGGTGACAATGCACCAAACCTCCACCACCTCCATAAACCAAGTGAAACACTCTGCTTAACATTTCACTGCAATACAGTGTGTGACATTATGAGAAGTAGGAGCAATTAAGAGGTGGGGGGAAAATAAAATATGCCCCTCTGTTAGACAAACAGCCACTTTCCATATTGTTGGAACCTTGCTGCACCACGGCGGTGGGACAACAGCTCCAGGGGGGGAAAAAAGTGCAAAGAAACCATCCACAGCTCTTCAACTGGCAAAAGCTGAGCCTCTCACAGTCATATTAACCCTGGCCAGGGCAACACAGGAAAATCACTCGGAGATATAAAATGAATGTGACTTCTTTTCCTAAACTCTGAGTTTCACAGCAGAACATAACCTGATAAATCCTGACTAAAGGAAAATTTCCAGGAGATAATTCCCTATAGATAAAGAATCAGCTACAGTATCTCAGCAATAAGTGATCGATGTGCAGCGTGTAATGAACAGCAGACACACTGCCTCAGCTACAGGGAGAAAGGCTGTAGCAAGTCCCTAGATACCAGTGCATATATTAGAAAGAGCTTTTACAGCTCATATGATCAAAGAATGAAGGAGGACACAAAAACAAAACATGCTAATATTTAGTAACAGGTGATGCAGGTACCTAAAACACCTGTCCACCCAGCCCCAAGTATTTTGAGCAGCAACACAAGATTTTAAAAAGTAAGATGACGAGCGTCTAAACAAAAGCAAAGTGCAACATTAGCTGGAGGCTACAGAAGTTTATTCTGGCCTTTTCTGGCAAAAACAAGTTAGTCTTGCTGGAACTGTGACTGGTAGAGCAACGCAGGTTGCGGCAGGTATTTGAAACGAGCGCGGAGAGACAGCCCACGTGGGGAATGATGGTCTCGGACAGACCTGTGTGAGATCATGACAATAGTACACTGCTGCCTTTCACAGCTCAAATCCTTCTATTTATGTTCCAGTCACACAGCCAACCATGAACATGCAAAATGAGACACTTCGACAACGTGCTAAGGCTGTTGTGTGTACAGGCGAATTTCAGTCCACTGTGTACCAGTTTTTTTCTGCTGGACAGAACATTCCAGAACACAATAAAAACCAATTTCTGACAGCAATCTGAGGCAGAATAAAGTTCTTCTAGCCTCATATTATATCGGAAGCAGACTGAAAGACTCATGTGCAGTGTTTACAATGTTTCGACCATGATCCCATGTCAGCGTACAGATCCTGCCTGAAACATGTGTCTGTTGACAGACATTCATCGGAACCAGTCATTCAGAAAACCTGAAAATGGTTTGACAAGACATGCAGTTCCTGATAAACAACATGAGTCAGCGTGACGTTGGTTCACATGGCCACGAGGTCTAAGAGGAAGCAATGACGGCACACCAACAAAAGCTCCGTTTACGAGCGCCGTTTAAGCCAGATTAATCCACCAGGCAGCACGTGGCCCTCCCACTTCCTGGTCAGATAAAGCCGGCGATTGGCTCCTCATTGTTCCCGCTCCACTGAGCTGAAAACAATCCAGCTCTGCCAGGGTTTGGGGGGGGGGAAAAAAAACCCCGTGACAGAATGACATCAAACCCCAACCCTTTCCCAGTCCCCAAAAACCAAGCTCTGAACCAGAGCCAGGCAAGCACAGAAGAGAGGAGAGGGCAGGCCTACTCAGGATTACATCATCAGCAAGGGACTGAGAGGCACAAGGAACTCCATTCTCTAAGCACTGCCAACACCAATAAAACACACCACCCAGGCAAAGGCTCCGCTAACAGCTGCAGCCTCGTAGCGTGGGCTGTAACAACCTGTTCGGATCAACAGGTGTCAGAGGCACTGACCATGAACTGGAGGGAGAGCAGGTTAAGGAACCGGACATGTTACCAGAAGGCCAACGGTTAAAACACACTAAGACAAACTTGGGTGAGGCAGTCAGTGGGAACTACTTCAGTAAACATCCCACCATGCACATTAAATCAGTGAGATAATCTTCATACGTGTGGTTGACTACGTGAGAATTTACTCAGTTTTCAGTTTATGGAATTTCAACTTTTACCACACTATGAGGCATATCTTTGCCCCTCTGAAAGTTGTATAGCCCTATAATGAAGAGATAGAGCAGCCCAAAAGCCGGGCTTAGGAAAAAGAACCTACACAAGAAGTAGAAATCCCACCTGGTCAAGAACTACTACAGTAAACACCACGAGCAGGTGGGGGGAGGGGCTTCACATAATGTGCTGGGAGTGATGCTAAAAGTCACCATGATGGGAGCTGTTATGACCCATTTCAACTAAGATCCTCTAAAGGGAGGGGATGCAACTGCCCTGAAAAGACATCAAGGAATAGCTACCGAAATACTTCCAAAACTACAGCTATGCCCTACTTATGAGTGTTGTGGAAGAGGGGGGTGACAAAACTCTAACCCAACAAGTTTGATGCAACACATACAAATGTAGATCTGCACACGTGTTAGGGACCACAGTGTCAAAGTGTTAATTGTGAACACAAAAACACACAGTTGTCTAAATGACTACCAATTAATATGCCATAAATATTCATCTACATTAGCACCCAACAGAGTGGTCTTCCTACATGTAAAGCCAACTGCATCTCATGCCAAGTACAGGTCACAACCGGCTAGCCTACATGCCACATAGGCGGACGTGCCCCTACCCACAACCAATGCAGGGTCGCAGCAAGACTGGAGCCCATCACAGGAAAGGCAAGGCAGGGGACACCGTGGACCGGATGTGACATCACTACAGGATACAGATTTAGATGAAAACAAGTATAATTTAGACATGCCAATCCACTGAAGCTGCATAGCTATCATATTTGAACAAATTAAAGCAATGCCCAAGACATATGGTCTAAGGATTTAAAGCAACTGCATATGTACTGAATATATAAAGAAAAATAAACTTCATCTGTCAGAAAGAAAAACATCACAGTTCACTGCAATGCACTGAACCCACTCCTGTAATTCATCGCCTAATCAGCAAAAACCTGTTTCTAAATAAGACAGATATGCACTGTGCAGTAGAACAACATGGTTGAGGTGGCTCTAGAAGAATTTCCACATCGTGAAACATACGCATTAATCCCAGGACCCTACTGTATCTTTTCCCAACTGCTGTATTTTCCCGCCAAGTGAGTAGGTTGCAGGTGACACTTCTGGTCTTCAGATGTCCCCTTAGGCCAAAGAAATGCAGTGACATTCAGTAAGAAGCAGCTGACCGAAACCCAATAAAACTTGTTTTTATCCATCTCCCAGTGGTCTGACTACACTTTATTTTTCTGTTCATTCAGTTTGCTAAAAATGCATTTTAAAGCCTTACAATCTAGACCCGATATTATTATATATGGCACTGATGACAGATACAATGTATGATTTATTCCTCATACTTGTGAGGCCTTTCTCTCTGAGACAATCCCTGACTACTGCGAATGGAGCAATTTTATTAAACGGCAGGCACTCTTCATATGTGCTGAGTCTCAACGGTGACACAAATAGGTACTTTTGATTGACTGGTGTTTTTACAGACCATAGGATACCGCATCTTTAGGTCGACCACCCTAAGAAAATGCAACCCCAAGCCCTTCAAGGAAAACCACCGCACGAACCCGAAGAGCGTGCTAGACTGAACTATTTAACGTTTTAATTGTTAAATGTATTAAGGTTTAAGTGTGTTAGTCCACCCGACATTTAACTTGGTATCAATGAATACCGTCTGTCCAGGTTCTAAGAGGAAGAGGAAATGTTACATATGTAACCATTAGTTAGTCTACCGTTCACTCGTTTCGGGGGCCTATATTTAGGGATTTATTAAGACATAACATAACGCTCACTGTACGGTTGGACGGGTCCGATAAGCGGACCAGCAGTCCGGTTCGGTCGTGAAAGCAGCTCACCGGTCAGCTAAGCGGCGCTAGGTAGCCACCAGGCTAACGGAGCGGCGAACAAGAGGGGTCGCTGGTAGCAATCAGAAGAAGGGAGCGGAATTAGCAAACGGCTCCAGTCAGTACCGAACAGCCCGGTACCGATCAACATCCGTGCCGCGCGTAAGTGTATGCGAAGCCTCCCCCACCCCCTACAACTTGGGTCCAGCAGGACGGAAAAAGCCGGTCAAGTGCAGCCAGGATGCAAAACAATCCAACATAAAATCTAACAATAACAAAAACATAATACTCCCTTCCCAGCTCACCCATGTATTTAAAATGATCAGCTTATTCCAATTAACACAAAGTAAAGTGCACCGAGGGAAGCTTCGTTCTTAACAACCAGGAGATGCATTTAGCGACCAACTAGCCGGATAGCCAGTGATGCCAGGCGCCGTGTAGCGGTAGCCGTAAGGCCTGCGCTGCCCGGCAAAGCCTGAGATTTTCCTGCGCGCTTCGGGCGGACACGGGCACTCAATTCGGGCAGCCTATAACTTCATTGCCTCCCACATCTGGGTATCGTTTAGAAAGGGTGGCGAGTTGGTGAAAGATGAACTTGCACACGTACACGCATAGTCATCCTGTTATCTTACGTGATAATTTTAACTGGTTTATGGCGATAGTTTGTGGGATACTCACCCCTGTCTCTCTATTGCTGGGATTCCTCTCCAAGGGAAATCACACCAAATGGGGCGGGGATTGATTTATCTTTCTGTACTGCCCAGCACTGTGTAAGCAAGCAACTTCAAATCTTAGTGCGTTTATTTCTCAGATCTGATATGATTTGTTGAGAAAATACCTTGCTTTTCCTCTCAGCCTTTCAGTGTATATCAGCAGCACCTTCCAGCCACCATCTTACATTGAAATGGGGGGGAGGGAGGGGGTGCCGACCATTCACAAGGCACTACTCATGCGCAGAGTGGAATACTCATTTATCATGGGTAATGTAGTTTCTTATGTAAACGCAATTTCTTTAATAAACAATAATAACGCTGTTTTAAAAACCACATCTTACAATTTGAAAATAAAAGAGCTATTAAAGAATAAAAAGAATATAAGTATAATATAAAAGATATAGTGTAAAAAACGTGGTGTTATATATCTAATTTAACTCCCCCATTTCATAATTCTCACTATTCCTGTAAGAATCAGAGGTATGACGCTTGGGTATGATGGCTGTCGTAGTGTACGGATTGGGAAACTGATAAAAGCTGGAGTCAGAAGACTTAAGTACTGAAGTGTACTTGGAAGAAAACATCATGTTACTACATGTATAAATACACTAACTACACTGACACAAGGAACTGTGTTACTACAAAAGTTTGAGTTCAGGAAAATACACAATTTGAGGTAGAAACATTACCAATCACTATATTAAATACAAAACGTCCAAAAAGTCTACTTAATATTTATTAACAAGTAGCTAATATGTTTACATAAACCATATTACTTATTTGTAAGAAAATACAGAAAGCAAGTACAGTCCTCTTAAAATTCCTTATACTATTTACTGGGTGATAACAGTAGATGGAGACATATCGTGAAACAATGTTTCTCATATTAAAAGCACAAAAGCAGATATGTTGAAAAAAAGGAATTCCAAAGAAACACACCACATTTATTAAATCGATATATTGCCTATTGCTAAACAACTTTGCTGACTTTTTATGTTGGGTGGGTCAAAAACTAAAAAAAAAAAAAACTTGAATACCACATTGAAAAGGTTTAAGACATCCATCACATTTCATGAATACAATGTAAATTCATGTCACTCATTGTGCATAAAGTGCTAAGTATACTTTAACAATTTAACAATATTTACAAAAAGATAATTTTGCATAAAACAACCTCAAAAAATAAACAAAAAACTTGTCTCACGGAAGGGCTTAAGAAATCAAAGATGTACTTTTTTGGTTTTTACGTCCTGAAGCTGTTAACGCGTGGTGGCTCCGTGATTAACGGTGTATGGATTCGCCTCTCTAAGCCTCCGGGTTTGATTCTCACCGCTAATTCTGCTTGTGTGTAAGTGCGGGTTTATACCCACAATTTGGTAAAACCTTTTATTTTTTCACTTGTAGGGACACTATTCAGGTCCCCACAATGTAAACCTCAATTTTATGTGAATGCAATAAAAAAAACTAAAATAGCCAAGACACCTGTATTTTGTTTGGTTGGTTACTTGTGGTGAAGGTTAGGGCTGGGTGGGGTTTAAGATCGTCATAGTTCGGATTAGGGTTATACCCATAGAAATGAATGGAGAGCCCCCACAGAGATAAGAATATATGAACTCTGTGTGTGTGTGCATGCGTGTGTCTGCATGTGTGCATGCGTGTGTCTGCATGTGTGCATGTGCATTGGCATTCTTTCCAGAACATCACATGTCCAGCGGTGCCAGAGACAGGCCCCATGCAGGCTCAAAGCGAGACTGTACTCTCAGTAAGTGGTTGTGGAAGATGGATGTATTGAATCTAAAAACATCCATCTGGTCACTCTTTTAAGTCTCACACCAGTGCTTTTTTGTGACAATACACAACGGTATAGAATAGAAACCTTTTAGACTTATATTTTCAATTTTTATCCATATTTCATTTTCAAAATATTTAGTTTTGATTGAATATTAATATTTATCAGTGGTTTAAAGTGCTTGTATATCATAGATTTTTCTGCAATCTCAGACTTAACCATTAGATACTAATTGTTTTTAGTTCTTAGTGAAAGTGCATTGTTGCAAAATCACAAGACATGGGGAGACCGGTACTGATAGTCTCTGCAAGAAATGCTGTTAAATTAGAATTTTTCCTAAAAGACAAAAGCACGACCTCATGCCATAATTCCTGAGCAGATCTATTCAGCTCATGGATCTGCTCTCTGTCACTGATCTGCAATAAGTGGTAAGGTGTCCACAATGTCTGTTGCCACTTTCTTGATGGCCAGGTGTTTATCTGCTCCGTGAAGCATTGCCGTCAAACTGGCCCAGAAGACCTGCTGCTTGCGTTCCTCCTTGGGCCACTCCAGGTAGGTCTGCTTGCAGAGCAGTGCCCTCAGCTTCAGGAATTTTTTAGGGAGGCAGTTGGCGGGGATTGGCTCTAGTAAAATAAAGACCAATGAATCGTCCTGGATGCTGATGGCCCGGTGTTGGGCGAAAAAGAGCTCGTAGGTGCACCACTCGCTTTGGACAAAATTTTGTGAGAGCACAAAGAGTGTCTTGTAGCTGTCCTCTATGCTGCTGATGATGTTGTCCACAATCCACCTGCCTGGTACAAAATCCCGTTCATGGACACAGAGGGACAGGCCGACGTTCTCCAGCCTGGGCACCAGCTGGCTCTCCACCCACATTGTGTCATGCTGGCTATATGAGATGAAGGCGTGGTACCTGAATGATGCGTTCTGCAGCCGCCCCGCCCCCTTGTGACCCCTCCTCTTCACCCGGATCCACACCCACAACATTTTAGTGTACCAGATTCCATCACAGGCGTAGAAGGTGATGCTGAAAGCCGCTACAAGGATAAGGACCACTGGAACCGCAATACTTGCTTGGAGCCATGGTAAGCAAGAAGGTTTAGTGGGCTTGTACTCCTCCAGAGACGCCCCAGCAAAGGATGGAGGAGTACTGCAGGTATAATCCACAGGCCAATCGGGGAGAAGAGATTTACTAAGTGAGGTGACGAACCAGTATGACTCACAGCTACAACTGAATGGGTTTTTGCCTGCCTTAAGATGCTGCAGCCTGGGCAAGCCCAGTATTGGTTCCTGGCTGATGGAAGTGATTGCATTCTGATCCACGTGCAGACTGAGCAGAGTTGGGATGTGTAGATTCATTGGAAGCACTTGTATACTGTTGGAGCTCAAAATGAGATGAGTTAGATTCGGGAAGGATGAGAGGTCTTTTTGGGTGATAGCAGTTATGCCCGTCTTTGACAAATTGATTCTTCTGAAGTGGGGTGACAGGTAGCTGAACACGCCGTTACCAAGATTGTTGTTACTGAGGCTCAGCTCCATCAGGTGCGTAGGCCAGGAACACTCCCCATCCAGCTGAATGGAATTAAAGCTCAAATCCAACGATTCGAGGACCATCATCTGGTGGGTCTTTCTAGAGATGAATGACAGGTAGACAAACCTATTGTGGCTCAGCCACAGCTGTCTCAGTGCCGGAAAGACTTTAGTGTAAGAACAAGCAGGCCACCAGAACCCATCATCTGAAAGCAGATTATTGGATAAATCCAACATCATTAGTGATGGTATGTCAGAAATTAAGTTGCAAGGGGAAATATTCATTCCAGTGCCAGAGAACTTCAGATAGGCCAACTGGGATAAATAGGTGACGCTAATGTTGATTTTTGGGTAACTGTACTGGAGGTGCTGCACCCCATTGAATGTAAGCGATCTCAGGTGAACTGTTTGGTTATGCGTTGGGTAGAATTGAACTCCATCAGGAGTGTCTTCGTAGTACACAATGTCAATAAATGACAGTTCTTCAAGAGTAGACTGGAATACATTTTTCAAAAGCTTTACCATAACAGAACTATTAAACCAGCTTTCCACAAATATTATGCTGCGGAGGAACTGAGCTCCTTTAAAGCCTTCAAAAGGATCACTGGAAATCTGACAGTACCTAGGAAAGAACGGATTTAGCCTTATAGCGGTAGTTTCTGTTTGGTTTAAATCCATCACAATGGCCTTAAACATGTCAAAACGCTGGCAGAAGGACATGATGAGGGTTATTTCTTGCAAGCTTTGTATTTGTGCAAGAGCACCTGATTCGTATTGTTGTAGATCAGAGTGAAGACTGAGATGTTTTAATGACGTATTGCTCAAGCATGCAAAGTCCCCTAATTTTATTTCTTTGATGTTTGGCCCCCCAAGCATGAGGAACTTTAGGTTTGTAAGTCTTGCGAAGCAGCTTCCAAGCTTGTAGCTGGAATACAGGTTGCCTGACAAGTCCAGAATCCGGAGATGAGGCAGTGAGAGGTCTGGGATGGTTGTCAGAAGGTTATTTGAGATGTTAAGCACCTTTATTCTACTGCTGTGCAAGAAGGCCATGGGGGAGATGTACTGAATCGTGTTATTGTTCAGTTTCAGAAAACAGAGTTGAGGAAAACCCACCAGAGCATTGCTCTCTAGTCTCGAGATTTTGTTGTGGGACAGATCCAGGTACTGGGTATTTAGGGATAATCCGGTTGGAACTTCAGTGAGATTGTGGTTGGATAGGTCTTTTTTGCCATAGCTGTGAGTAACACAGAGCTCAAATTCTTTCTCAGCAAAGCTTTTCATGGTTATAATGAGGAAACTGGCGAAGGTCCAAATAATGGCTGGCATACTGAAACACAGCACAGACATTGGTGAGGACAGGCGGTACACTACAGTTCCACAAAATCTTCACATTTTAATATTTAAAATTTATTTGACTTGTGTGCACCGAATGTCACTTTATCGTAATGCATGATGAATATATTTAAGTATTAATAGCCATAATTTTCAATTAATATATGCAGTCACTAAATACTCAAATCCCAAAACGCAGTAATTGATTTTAATTTTATTTTCAGTGGGATTCTGTAAGTCCAATACATGTACATTTATAACCATCAGAAGTAAATGCAGAGACATTTTTAATGAATATGAACAACACTGAACAGGATACAGAAAACAAGACAGTCATAAGAAATGCATTTACCTTGATTTGCTGTTGTTGTGTATTTCTGAAAGTAGGCGCCAGACTGCAGCTACAGCCTGATAGCGGCACTTTTTACAATTTAAGGACTGAGGTTCCTGATGGCCTGTTTTTTTTATTTTACATTCAACAATATTCACATTCAGAATCCACAGCTAAGCTTCCTCATTGTTTCACCCAGTAGAATTATCATTGCCTGGTTTTTGAGAAGTTCCACTTTTGCAAAATATTTCACAAATCTTACAAAAGAGTCCATGCAAAATTCCCCTATGTAACCCAAAAAAAAACAATGATATATATGGTATACACACACACACACACACACATACACACACACACATGTCGGGTATACCTATCCTTATGGGGCCCGCTCATTCACTTCTGTGGGAAAAATGCTAACGCTAACTATGACGACCTTAACCCCCACCCTGCCCTAACCATAGCCATAAGTAACCAAGCAAAATACAAGAGTTTTTGCATTTTTAGTTTTTTTTATAGCAGTCACCAATTTTTATAAAATAGAGTTTTCCCTTATGCCTGTATTAATCTTGCACAGGGCAAATACAGCAGCTGTAATATAAAAGTGTTTCACTCCACTGCCTCCCCCACTAACAGTTTACCTGATGTTTCCGGAACGTTATCCCATTACTACAACTAAGATTAATAGGATTAAAACAAGCAAAGGGGATGGTAAAGCAGCAGATTACACTGACACTTTACACCTCAAAGGTCATGGGGTCAAGGCCGGATGTCATGTTTGCAGTATATGCATACAGAATAACACTTTTATAAAATAACTATTTATTTTAAAACAACATTTTTCAACATTAATTGCGTTAAAAGGATGTTCAGGTGCAACCCTGAGTAAGACATGTGGGTATAGAAGATGGAGAGATGGATGGATTAATGTTACACTATGAATGTTCTCTGCCAACGTTGAGATGACCATCACATAACAACAACAACAAATTTATTTTTGTATAGCGCATTATCACAACATTACATCGTCTCAAAACGCTTTACAGCATCCGCACCCAAAGCCCCCAGTGAATAAGCCATAGGCGACAGTGGCAAGGAAAAACTCCTGAGAAGGAAGAAACCTTGGGAGGGACCAGACTCAAAGGGGGATACTATTGGTCTTTATGAAAAATCTTTGCTGTAAACGCAATCAAAGAAATTATAACACAACACAACTTTCAAATCAGTGCTGGCCCGTTAACACGTTAACTTAACGTTGGCTGAAGTTCTGGGAACATTTCCTGTTAGCTTGGTCCACCAACAGACATTTTGTTCTTAGTTTATCACATTTCTCTGAAAACAAAAGGTGAATGTTTAGGAACAAAAAAAAAACTGAATCTAAAACCTATTTGGCAACTGGCCCTAAAAACAGAAGCGAGAAAACAATTGAAAATGCACGTAATGACTGGAAGGAGCCTCGTTTTACGGTGTTAGCCTTTGATAAAATAAAATAAATGTTGCAAATTATGATATTTTTTATCCTCTAAGCTAAGTAACAATTTTTCCTCGCCTTTCACCTCCAACAGCATCCCAGTGAGGTGTTTGTTTGCTCAGAGGCTCTCCAACTTTATTTACAGTGAGAGAGGAGATAATCGAGGGGGCATGCTCAACATCCATCACAGAGTGAAATTCATTGCAGTGCCCAAATGTACATGAGTATGAACAAAATTTGGAACCATTTATGCGAGCTACTCACTGGCTTCCTGTGTTTGATCCCTGTGTTGCAGACCACTGCACTAACATTCATGCGAGCTACTCACTGGCTTCCTGTGTTGATCCCTGTGTTGCAGACCACTGCACTAACATTCATGCGAGCTACTCACTGGCTTCCTGTGTTGATCCCTGTGTTGCAGACCACTGCACTAACATTCATGCGAGCTACTCACTGGCTTCCTGTGTTGATCCCTGTGTTGCAGACCA